AACCACACTTTCTATAAATAGCATTTGGAACCGAATAGTACTAACAGAAGGCATATGATAGTGAGGGTGTTTGGCAGACATGGTAAACTATCATTTGGCAAATATTGAGGGACTAAGCAAAATTTTACGAGGGTTCCCAACATTAGTAAGTGCAAGTCAATGAATGAGTTTCTCTAACAAAGTCAAGTATGTTTAACTAATAGCACTTAGGAATTCCATCCTGATGCTCATCTGGTCAAGTGCATACGTAAAGACCAGTTTCCTAATTAGCTTAGGCGAAGACTGAAAAAAAAGGTTTAGCAATACTGCTTGCCGTCGTGGCAATAAAGAAAGAATATCCAAAAAAACTAGCCGATAGATAACTTTTAATACCTGAAGTCACTTTCGCAACAGTCCACATCATAACTTGGAAAATGAGAAAGTTTAGAAATTAGATAAAATATGAAATACCTACTCATCTTTTTAGGCTTACTTTGAATGCCCCTAATATCAATGCCAATAGGATCCATGATGCATTCGAAGGAAAATGACTTGAAATAAACCTTTGCTTCATACATCCAGTTGGGGTCGTTTAGTAAGATAAAAATGACATAGTTAACTTCAAGTAAAAATGTTTATAACAAGAAGAATATATCACACAGGTGGTCGAGTGTGAGAAAGTTTCTAGTCCTTGACTTTCCTATCAATATTTGAAGACTATTTGGAAAGTTGAAGAGAATGAAGTTTGCAAGGGCTTTTATATCTTTCAACACTAATGGTCGAACTAGTGTTGTATTTCCATGTTCATGTCTTCTTTTGTGAAAGATGTCAGCAATCTACTATAGAAGCCAATGAAGACACCCACAATGCCTCAATGTGTTATTGGGAAAACAAGACAAACCTATAGAAGAGTCATATGAATAAAAAAGCTACCATTTTATGATTGTTTGGTAGTGAAACTAGAGCTTGATCTTGGTTATCAAATGGTGGAATATGAGTTTGATTCAGAGCTTCTTTATCCTCATCTCCATTGTCACTACATCATCATTAAATTTGAACTTCTCATA